TAAGTTTCTCAAGATCCACATATGAGTGAAATCACATGGTATCTGTCTTTCTCTGACTTGTTTCACTTAGCCTAACACCCTCCAGTTCCATCCACGTTGCCGCAGATGGCCAGATTTCATGCTTTCTCATTGCCAAGTAGTATTCCATTGTATAGATAAACCACATCTTCTTTACTGCAATAGCACTGCTAAGAATTTACCCAACGGATACAGGACTGCTGATTCATAGGGGCACATGTACCCCAATGTTTGTTTTCCAGTTTTAAACACTGTTTACTTTCTACTATGGAAGAAAAGAATTTCTTGATCTTACCCATGTCCCACCATGCCCAAACTCTATTCTTATCCTGCCAAGAGTAAATATTCAAAGCATTACCAACATTTTCTTTTTATTCTTCCCAAGTAAGAAAAAATACTCTGACTCATTCATTACTTGAAAACTCCATCAATCAGTAAGGACAGAACCAGTACATTTCACTATAAACTTATATCTTTGTAAAGACAAAAGTACCTTCCCTGTACATCAGTCATGAACATACTTAAAGCAGTAAAGACTTGCACCCATTAAGTAAAAACTGTTCAATTTTTTTAAGTTGGCATAAGAACATTCAAGGAAATTAGAGTTGAATTATACATGCTAATTGAAAGACATAATAAAGCTATTTGCACTAGGAGGCAAAAATAATCTTTACAAGACAAATGTCTTAGAAGAGAAGTGTTAGGTCATTAACTGATGAATGATATCATCCACCCATTGACTAGCAAAATCGGCCTCTCTCACGCTGCTGCAGAGTGTGAGCGAGAAAACAGGTGGGTGATTCTTATGCAGAGTCTAAAACAACAGTCAGAGGCTTGGGCCTTCCAATAAATCAATCCTAAGGAAATGTTCAGAGATACAAAAATTGATGTCCAAGAATCTTTATGATAGTATATATACATATAATGGAAAAGAATCTCAATGCCCCCCCAAATAGGAAATAGGTTAAATTATGTTACATCTATAGAATGGAATATTATAATCATTAAATTCATGCTTTCAAAGACCAGTTAACATCATGGGACAATGCTCGTAATGTTAAATTAGAAAAATAGCTGAAGTCAACCTATTGACTTGTAAAAACATACACACATATACAAACACAGCATATTTAAATATATATATATAATATTTACACACATTTATTTATTTATTTATTTATTTTTTAGTGCATAGTAAAAGTTTTTTCTCCCAGTGTGGTCAGCTACCCATGTATCTCAGAATCACATGGAGGGTTTGCTTAAAATGCAGATCCTTGGGTTCCACTCCAGACCTACTGAGTTAGAGCCTTGGGCTTCACAACCCAAGGATTTCTGCCTACCTACACATCCTCGTCCACCCACGTACTACCTTGTCCGCCTGCACCCCCACCTTGCCCACCTACATCCTGCCTTGTCCACATACGTACTACCTTGTCCGCCTACATCCTGCCTTGTCTGCCTACGTACTGCCTTGATTGATACTGACTCACACCTCCATTTGAACACTACTGAACGAGAAGCAGGTGCTTTCTGGGTGATAGAATTATGAGTAATCCTCTTCTTCCTGAAATTCTTAAAAGAAAGTTATCTGCCAAGCATGTGCTGCTTTTATAATTAAAAGCTCATTAAAAGTATATTAATGAAGAATGAGTATAAAAAAAAAACAGCAGATCTGAGGTCTATCTGGGCAAGTCTAAACACCTTTTGAGAATTGGAAAGTGTATTTTTAAAATCCAAAGTACGCAGGTACTTATAGATTCCTGACAATTGAAAGTCAGTTTGGAGAGAACTGATGGTTGATGGGGGGGTTTTGGGTGGGGAGATGGGGTAAATGGGCAAGGGACATTAAGGAGGGCACTTTTGGGGATAAGTACTGGCTGTTATACATAGGGGATGAATCACTGGATTCTACTCCTGAAATCATTATTGGAATATATGCTAACTAACTTGGATGTAAATTAATACTACTACTACTATTACTAATAATAATAAATGAAAAAAATAAATAAAAAGAAAATCAATTTAGGACGAAGAAAATACTAAGTGTAAATATGAAATTCATTACCTCAATAAATAGTGCAGGTAACAAATATAAATATAATAATTTTGAAAAGTTTTAAGAAATAGTATTTCCCTGTGCTCCAAGATGCTCCTTGGCAAAAGAAGATTCAGTGATCAAATAACTTTGGGGCACAGTACATATTCTAATCCTCTCTCAGAATCATACAACCATGAGCATATTATAGGCTCTGGGAAGTCCAGTATAATCGTCATTCTTACTTCTAGCTCCACAAATTCTTAGAATGTGTCCTACCATTAAGAACACATCTAGAGGCATCAGGGTGGCTCAGTCAGTTAAGCGTCTGCCTTGATTTTGGCTCAAGTCATGATGTCATCGTTCGTGAGTTTGAGCCTCGCATTGTGCTCTGCATTGATGGTACAGAGCCTGCTTGGGATTCTTTCTCCCTCTCTCTCAAAATAAAAAAATAAATAAACTTAAGAAAAAGTCTAGGCCAGAAGAGAGCCCAAGAAGGAATTCTCACCATGGACTGATACTCTATGTTTGATCAATCTTACATTTCCATGGTCTCTGAGGACTTAGCCCGCATATTTTAATAGGGCCTGATTCTAAGAGCACCTGATTCAAATCAGCTATCAAGTAACCCTTAAGAAAAGCAAAACTGAATGCCAGGCTACAAAATTAGAATCTGCGAAGGAATTGTGTATTTACTTTTGTTTACTAGCAGCCTCTACCACTTAGACAGCGAGGCTGAAATTCTGTCTTATATTCACTTACGTAGTTCTAACACAGTAAAGCCCAGCACTTTGTTGGTGCTCAGCTGAACAGGGCATCACCAAACAGGCGGTCAAGACGTTTTAGACAAATACAATAATGAAATGGGCTCGGCACAGGTCCCCAGATTTAGGTCGTAAAGTTTATACAGTCATGATATCAAGGTCTTGTTTCATTCAATAAACATTTCTGAGTGCTTATGATGAGTGGTAGTTCCAAGAATATAGAGGTGGTTAAACTACAGTCTTTACCCTCAAGAGCCCCAGAACACTAGTACTACCAGCCAGTCCCTGGTGGACAGGGTTGGGCATACATTAGGTGTCTAATAAATGCTTGTTTTAACTGAATTCAGAAACCAAGATACGCTAAGCTGGCTAAACTTTGGTGACCCAAGAGCCTTGAGCAGGGTAGAATCAGGAGTCAAAGTTTTTATGAGAGAAGTCCCAGAACCTAAAGGGATTACACAGTATATACCATGACAGAATTTCTAATACATGTCCTACATAACTCTCTAGGTTCCTGCATGTTCATAGATGGTGTACGGTGAAATAGGACTGGGAAAGGGGTTCAAAACAGATGACAGGCCCCTCTGCTACAGGACTTCAACACCTTTAAGCCATGTGCTGTGTTCCTTTTATGCACTGTCTTATTTAATCTTCACAGCAATCCTACACAGTAGGTCTCATTATTTTTCCTGGTGTAGAATGAGCAAGGGGCCCCTGGGGGGCTCAGTCAGTCAGGCGTCCAACTCTTGATTCTGGCTCAGGTTATGATCTCATGGTTCATGGGTTCCATACCTGCATCAGGCTCTGTGCTGGCAACAGGCAGCCTGCTTGGGATTCTCTCTCTCTCCTCTCTCTCTGCCCCTTCCCTGTTCTCACTCTGTCTCTCAAAATAAATTAACTTAAAAAACAAAAAAAGAAAAGAAAAAAAGAAACGAGCAAGCTGAAGCTCACAGGGACTACTTACAGGGAGTAAGTAATCTGCACCAGGCCGCACCTTTGTGGTACTTCTACCACCAAAGGCTGCACCTTTACCGCCATAAGGTACAGAATGGGACTCTGAAATCAGGTCCTTCTGGCACCAAAGACTGGTCTGTGATCATTCAAGCAATACCATTTTTAATACATTGATGAGCACAAGAACACCTCCAGAGGGACACACGACATAAAGTGTTCCCCAAACTGATGTGATTAGGAAATCCTTCTGAATGAATCTATGCTTGAGACTGGCTTTCCATGTAACCCATTTTGAGAAACACTGTGGGTCAAATGAGTCAGAGATAACCCCATGGCAGAAAGGAGGGAGGTGGAAGGCAGCTCAGAAAGAAAAGCTAGCTTATTAAAACTGTGCTCAAAGAGTTATTAATAGGAACACATAAATTAGACATCCGTTTAATAGATATCATTTCTTTACTTCTAGATTCTTAAGTTCTAGTTCATGGTTCATTTCTGTCAAATAATATTTGATATGACATTCCAATCCCGAGATCTTCCCTTAGCTAGGTATTTAACGCTTGCTGCAGAATTTGACTTACTCAGTAGTTTAATTCACATCACTAATTTTGGTAAGTATACTCACACTGGGAGTATAGGTTTTAACTTGTGTATTTCAAAAGGGCTGCAATTTGCATTCTGGGGTGAGAGAATTTTTCATTGTACAGGACTGACTCAAACTCTGTAGTACCTAGCATCCTTGGGCCCTACTGAGTAAATTCTAGTAGTACTCCTCTCCAGCCCCCACATCATCTCGACAAGAAACATCCCTATAATTTCTAAGGGAGTGGTATCACCCCCAATCGAGACCCACAGGTTTAGAGCAAACCAGAAAGTTCCATAAAAACAATGACTGAAGGACAAATAGCTACCTTGACCCTGCATTCAGTATTCCAGCAAACAAATCCAGATTTAATATGCCAGCTTCAATCTTGCATGCACAATGTCTCATCACATTTCTCTGTATTCTGTTATAAATATGGACAGATTCAACAAATTGCCAAAATACCATTTCTAGCCCAAAGGATCAATCCCTATGTATGCTGCCAACAACAGCAACAGACCTGGGCAGCAGGAAAGCCCAGGACTGCGTGGGGGTACTGGCGTATACATGAGGCAGCAGCCACAGAACAAAAAGTATACCTGAACAGATTATCATTCTGTCACGTTTGGGCTTTAAGAAGGATGCTGGGTTTTTTTTTTTCCTTTTTAAAATGATTTATTATCAAAAAGCTTGCTCCCCGTCCCTGCTGAATCAGTTCAGCAGTGCAGCTCTATCCTTTTTAGGATGATCAGCACCCAAATAATTTCAGACCAAAACTAGAAGCACAACCACCACCACCACCACCACCACCACCAGCAGCTTGACTGTTGGCTCAGGAACACATTCACAGACACGTCAGTGTGCATTCCGGAAGCCCGGTTTCATTTCTTGATCGGAATGCCAATCACCATGAAGTCTTCTGCTAGAGTCACTTCCTGAAGATCTAACACTGATTCGGCTTGCTTTTTCAGTTCTAAAATCCCATCTGTTTCTCCTTCTCTGGCCAAGGCAACTGGTTTGTACCTCTGACTAAAGTGAGTCAGAACTAGCCTCTTTGCTTGGCACAATTTTGCAAACGCTGCTGCCATCTGTGGTGTGCTGTGGCCGTGCTCCTTTGCTTTGTCCATCTGGACATCATCTAGGGTCGCTTCGTGGATCAGCAGGTCTGCTTCAAAGCACAGTTTCACTCCTCCATCACCCACAACCCCAGAACAGTCACCCAAAATGCAGATTTTCCTGCCAACAATAGGCTTTTTTAAGACATCTTGAGGAGAAATTGTAACTCCATTTTCCAGAACAACAGAAATTCCGTTTTTCAGCTTCCCATAGGCAGGACCTGGCGGAACACCTAGTGGTAGAGGCAGATAACATCACATCATGGGAATGGAATTTATGACTTGTTAAGAGAGAGTCTGTTTTAACGGCACCAAAATGGAAAAGGCATCCAATTCTTTTCATAATTGTCATACATATTTTACTACTTGCGGAAAGCTGGAATATTTATACATTTTTAAAAGTTCAGTGTTGGCTATTGATATTCGTGATGCTCTAGTACTTAAAACATTTCCCAAGCACACGTGTCAGATGAGTTTTAAGCTTTTAAGTCTCACTAGGACTTTCTTTCGGTCAAGCTATCAGCTTTAATCCTCTGCTGTGAGTGGAAAAAACAGTTTTTGAGACTGCTTTGTGTAACAAGCCCATCTTGGAGTAAACATAACGAGCCCATTTAAATAATGACAAAGTACCTACAAACTGACTAGCTTAATAAAAAAATTGTTTGAGGGGATTATTTGAATAACAAGATCAAGGAGAATTTCTGACAATTATACATAATCTTCTTTGTAGATTGAGGCAGTTCCATGTTTACCAAATTAGGTTTGGTAAGCCTTATATTAATGATCTTACGTTAATCTATAACAACACGTGATCATCACTCTGAACAACTATGAACAAACAGAATGTGTTCAATAATTCCAGCATACCTCATATTTTTTATATTTAAAAAAATTCATTTTATGTCTTTATTTAATTTTGAGAGACAGAGGCAGAGAACACGCAGGGGAGGGGCAGAGAGAGGGGGAGACACAGAATCTGAAGCAGGCTCCAGGCTCTAAGCTGTCAACACAGAGCCTGACGCAGGGCTCGAGCCTATGGACTGTGAGATCATGACCTGAGCCGAAGTCGGATGCTTAACCGACTGAGCCACCTGGGAGCCCCAAGCATACCTCATATTTAAAGTTTCCCAATATAATAGTATTTCCACAGCTTTTAGATAGTAAAAATACCTTTGACTTAAGTCAGTCTTCCTCATTATTTAGCATTTTGTTTTAGTTGGGGAAGAAGAAAGAGTCTGCAGAAAGAAACAAATCTAGGGGCACCTAGGTGGCTCAGTTGGTTACATATCTCACTTCAGCTCAGGTCATGATCTCAGAGCTCATGAGTTTGAGTCCCACATTGGGCTCTGTGCTGACAGCTCAGAACCTGGAGTCTGCTTCGGATTCTGTGTCTCCCTCTCTCTGTCCCTCCCCCACTCACTCTGACTCGCTCGCTCTCTCTCAAAAATAAATTTAAAAAAGAAAAAAAGAACCAATCTATCAAAGATGCCATCATGCTTTTTATAGGCTCTGCACGGCCATGACAAGGAAGGTGGTGATGCTAGACAAATAAAGGATCTGGGCACTGCTTCAAAAGAGGTGCGGAAGGTCCCCTCACGCTTGATGGCCTAGCATGCAAACCCTCGGATGGGGCCCAAGTCTATCTCTGTGTCCATCATCTTGCTTCTCCCTCTGGTGAACCCAGGCGTGTAAAACAGTTGTGTCGCAGTATTCCGAACATCAAAGTAACTTAATCAAGGCTGAATGAGTAGGCAAAGTTGAGAAAGAAGGAAAATCCTGAAAGTAGCTGGTTGCAGTTACAAGGTTAAGAACTCTGGCAAAAATTCTCAGGCCAAAGATGCAACTGAAAGCATATTTCAAAAGGAAGACATGAAAAAATAAAAGCCTAGACCTAGGACAACAGCAAGCACCCTGCCGCACAAGACATCATTAGCTGAAGGTGAGACAGACTAAAAATGTGGATCCAGGGAGCCGAAGAGAAAAGGATTCAAGGATATACTTGGGCTTTTGTCTGAATAGCATCCATTTGGCCTCAAGACTTTCCCTTAATAAGAAGACTTTGGGCAAAAGAAATAAGTGGAGAAAATGTCAGTTTGGGGCTTGGGAGGAAAGGAAGGTTATTATGACACTTCTAGAAGCTTCAGCTAACAACAGCTCAAGTGACAAGAAGAAGAAGGAAAGAAACCACTTACCGAGGTCTTTCAGTTTCTGTGCGTTGAGTTTACCTGGGCGTTTCTTCTCCACAACTGCAAACCCAAAAGAGGGAATTCGGTGAAAGAGGCGAAATGCTTTTACAACAAACTGTTCATCATCAACCAGAAGGTATGAGTTTTCTTCTGAGTCTAGGAGGATAGTTCTTCCTTGTCCCTCTTTAGGAGGACTGTCAGTTTTATTCACGTGCGTAAATTCTTTTAGCTCTTCTGTGGGACACTGATCTGCTGTAGGTACCAGCTCATGGACCACGTAGGGGAAGACCAGCTCTGTGTGAGAGAGTTCCATGGTGCGCCAGATAAAGTCCCGAAGCCCGGCAGGGCCATAGATCTCAATAGGCTGTTTGGTGACCACAGAGCCACTCTGCAGGCTGATGGTGCAGAGGAGGCCAGGAAGGCCGAAGAAATGGTCTCCATGGAGATGTGTGATGAAGATCTTGGTAATTCTCCCTTTTGATTGAGGCAGAGAAATACAATTGGGAGTGTTTCCAGAAATTCAAACCTATACAAAGCTACTTGAAACACGTATAGCAACTTACACAGCAAGCAGCAAAACGAATTTAGAATTCTATTTATCACCATAAGCTTACTTCTTTGTTTTTCTACATGATTCCAGAAGCAAGAAAGACAGGCTTTATGTTTTAATAATATCTAACATTTTTCATAAAGCATCTTCAAATTACATAGTATTGCAGGTTCAAGGGTATTTTCCTACATATCTTCTTACAGAAAGAGAGAAAGGAAAGAAAAGAAAAGAGAAACAGGGGCACCTGGGTGGCTCAGTCGGTTAAGCGTCTGACTTCAGCTCAGGTCATGATCTCACAGTCCGTGGGTTAGAGCCCCGCATCAGGCTGTGTGCTAACAGCTCAGACCCTGGAGTCTGCTTCAGATTCTATGTCCCTCTCCTTCTGCCCCCCCCCCCCCCCCCCCCCTGCTTTGTCTCTCCCTGTCTCTGGAAAATGAATAAGCCTTTAATTTTTTTTAAAAAAAGAAAGAAAGAAAGAAAAAAGGGAAACAAAAAGTGTACCAAAATAGTTCACTTAAACTAGATAAGCCTCAAATGTCAAGAGCATCTGACAGTTACAGTGCCCTCTACTGTTCCCTCTGAGAATAACAAATACATACCTCCCACGTAACAAATGTTCCCCCGCTCCAAAGGGACCAACGCCCCAACCCAAAACTGCTGTTTAAGGGCTCTCTATACTGAACAGGGATTAACTAGCCAGGACAGAGCCTGCTTGTCTGAGTGGGGCTGAAGGGGGCGGAGAAAAAGGAAGACGATGAAACAGGAGGGAGAAAAGAGGAGGCAGGAGAGGAAAGGGGTGAAGAACCCAGAGGGGAGGTGGGCAACAGACGCTAGAATGGAGATGGGAGGGCAGATCCTCTGTGGGGTTATGTAAAGGTACGTGGGCCCCTGCCTTCTTCTCCATGCTAACACAACGGCTTTTTCAGTACATACTGGCTTAGGTCGTAACTTGAATTAGCCAATGGTAAACTGAATTTACTGCTGGTATGTGGCATGATGCCACATGGGCATTTTTCTGAGATGCACCACAAGGCATTTTAAAAGTCACAATCCCAATTAACACAATTGTAGTATAACAGAGGCTTCTGGTCCTAGCTCATGGCCCACCTATTTCAAATATTTGATACCATAAAAGAACAAGAACAGTTTATTGAAATGTGATTTGTCCTGTGACATCCAAGTAAGTCTTTCCAGAGTTAATACATCAAACCCAGGCCCCACGACAGAGAACAGATTGGGCAGAGGCTGATTTGAGATCTGGAGAATCCTGAGGCACTCCAGAAGTACCCTTAGTATGCTCCTTTTGGTTTTCTCTTTTTAGTCCCCGCTTTTGCTGTTTTTTAACTTCTTGGAACCCTTTTGTCACCCTCCCCCACCCCACACCTCCCTGCTATCCAAGCTGACAAGACACACATACGTGTGACCAGAGGCCTCTGCAGACAAAAGAACTACAATGGCTATTGAGTCATGACCTCACATTGACCTTAAAATTGCCAAGCGAGACTTTCTGGGCCTTCTCCCTATCTAGTGTAAAACAGAGCCAAAACTGAACACCAAAACAAGCTATGAGCCCAAAGCAAGTGAGACAAATTAAGTCAGTCAAAATTGCTTCCCACAGTTATCACAGGTTCAGAGAAGACAAACATTTCATTTTTCAAGAAACTTGATTTCAGAAGGAGAAGGAATGACAACCTCAACTATCAAAGTTAGGGGGTGCTATCAGATGAAGAAAGCGAAGTGCATGAATTCCCTTTCCCTTGAGAACAGAAAGTTACAGGGGAATATGCCATCCATAGAGAAGTGGAATACTAAGGATCCCCTAAGTGATGATGCAGTTATACTTCCTGCTATAGGAAAATATCTGCAATACATTATTGTTCAGTTGGAAAAAAAGGAGGTTATACCTAGTATGCTACTGTTTATGCAAAACTGTACATACACAAAATTGTCAATACAACTATAATATTAACATATCTACCTCTACAAATATTTACCTATAAGGAGAAACTTAGGCCTTTTCTTATTTATACTTTTCTGCTTTGTTTGAATTTTTACAATGAGAATGTACTTTTTAAAAAAAGTTTCTATTTACTTTAGTAACCTCTACTCCCAGTGTGGAGCTCGAAGTCACGATCCCGAGATCAAGAAGTTGCACATTCCTCCAAGTGAGCCAGCCCGATGCTCCCCATGTATACTTTTTATAAACATTTTTTCATTATGCTTTTGTAATACTTTTTATAATCATTTTTAAGGGAAGAAAAAGAAAAGCTTAAGCTCACTCTTTAAAATTATGAAAGAAATAAGACACGATGAACCCATACTTGTTAATCAGATGCTTGCACATTAGGACCAAGGAAGCTTAAGAGAAGTGTGTTTAGATAAATAGAGAGTACTCCCTCATAAAACTCCTAAAAGGAGGAGTATAAGCTGAAAGGGTTTCAATGAATCAAACAATGATAGGTCCACAGTGGGTTGAGAATAACCCATTTGAACTGAGGGTGCTGCGTTCCAGTATGAGTCTGGGGGCTTAGGAAAGGCTAAAGACATAGATAATGTTCTAGGATTACCATCTTACCCTCCTCTCTGAAGCCAGTGATTTTTTTAGCCATTAAGAATTCAGTAAACTAAAGGTTCCCTTAGACTTTGTGTGTGTGTGTGTGGTTAGCTTTGCAAAATGTTTACTTAAAACGTATATAAAACAGCTACAAAATATAAAATATTAGAGAAAGGTACTGTAGCAGATTGACGGCCCCTGACCCCTGATGTTCATAACCATTTACAATTTCTTCTCCTTGAGTGTGGGTGGGACATGTGACCTGTTTCTAACCAGTAAAATAGGGCACAGGGATGCAGTGTGATTATGTGACAAGACTCCATCTTGCTAGCAGACCTGCTTTTGAGTTTCTTTGTTCTTGGATGGCACTAAGGAATGAAGGTACCAGGAAGCAGCAACCCACATGATGGGAAACTGGAGGAGGCCTCTAGGGGCTGAGACAACCTTAGTCCTGCCAACAACCCACATGAGCTCTGAGGCAGATCCTTCCCCAGGTGAGCCTCTGATGAGATCTCAGCCCCAGCCAAATACAGACTGCAACCCAGTGAGACCCTGAAGCAGAGAAGCCAGCCAACCCAGGCCCAAAATCCCTGACCCACAGATACTATGAGACAATAAATGCAATAAGACACTAAACTTATAATCTGTGAACAGCATTGATAATTGACACAAGTATTAAGTAAAAAGTAAAGACTTATCCCCACACCCAAACCTCTAGTTCCCACACTTAACAGTTTGTTGTTTCTGTTTTAATCATCCCACCACCTCAACCCCTGCTCTCTAAAATGGGATACTACAGCCTCCACTGCTCCTCCCTGAGAGTCCTCAGGAAAGGAACTTCCGTGTGACCCAAGGGAAATAAAGCATAACACCTGCTCTCACCTCAGGGTTTTAGGTTGAACTGTGTAAACCTCAAGGGCATGAGTCCTAAGTGAAATGCATTAGTTCCTTCCTCCAACAGCTCCTTTCCTGCCTCCCTGTTTAGGTCTCGGACACCATCCTTGTAACTCGGAGGAATCTTTCACTTCTTCACATCCTAGACATTCAGTCAGTCACCCACTCCCTGTTAGGTCTACAAGCATTTCTTAAATTGAGTCTCTCATCTTCATCCCTATCTCTACTTCCTGCTTCAACATGCTCATCCCCTTCTCTCTTCCCTCAGATGAATGGAACTGCCTTAACAGTGGTCTTTCCTAGTACATCTGCCACCAGAAAACTCTGTCCCTAACATGCAAATCAGACCATATCACTCTCCTGCTTAAGAACTTTTAATGGCTCCTTACTGCCAATAGAATAAGAAGGCCCAAATACCTTAGCAAACCACAGAGAACTTCATAGTCTGCCCTCACTTTTTCAGCATCCTTACCTCTCATCTATCCTAGCCAAATGTCACTTCTCTCCTAGAAACTCTATTACTTCTTGCTTACTTTGTTGTCTGTTCCTTGAAAATCCATCCCTACTTTTCTACCCAGAGAAACTGCTAATCATTTAGATCCTAGCTGTACTATTACCATCTCTGGAATGCTCTCTCTGAACACAGTTAATGTCCCCCTCTTTTGTGCTCCAAAAGTATTTAGAAACAGCTCCATTATTCTCTTTATCACATTACATTATGACTATTTACATGTCTGTTCCCACCACTAGACTAAGAGATCCCTGGATGCTAGAACAAACTTTCTATTATTTTTTTACATTATTTTTTAATGTTTATCCTAGAGAGAGAGAGAGACAGAGTGTGAGTGGTGGAGGGGCAGAGAGAGAGGGAGACACAGAATCTGAAGCAGGCTCCAGACTCTGAGCTGTGAGCACAGAGCCCGACACGGGACTGGAACTCACAAACTGCAAGATCATAACCTGAGCTGAACTCAGGCACTTAATCAACTGAGCCACCCAGGAGCCCCAGAACTAACTTTCTTATAGTCAACAACGCCACACACTGTGATGAATCAGAGGAATAATTTCAGTATCTTCCAGTTATCAATATTTAGTAAGTGAGAGGGACCACACTAAGTGCTGAATACCTTATTCATGCATTAACTGATCAGATATTTACCAGGCATCTACTAAGGATATAAACAACCCTTGAGCTTACTTTATCATATAGGGAAAACACAGCAAACACAGAAACAACTATTTAAATAACAATTTTAGATATTGATGCTAAGTCAATAAAAATAGCACAAAGCAGGAGAATGCCTGGGATGAACGAGAAATTACCCAACTCCCAAAGTTCAGGGAAAGTCTTTGAGACAGCATCTGAGCTAATATTTAACTGATAAGAAAGGGGATTGTTTTATATAATTCTTACAACACCCCTTCTAAGTTGAGTTTCTATCCACATTTTCAAGATGAAAAGTCGGTTAAGTTTCAAACTTTGGCTCAGGTCATGATCTCCTAGCTCGTGAGTTCGAGGCCCACATTGGGCTCTGTGCTGACAACTCAGAGCCTGGAGCCTGCTTCAGATTCTGTGTCTCCCTCTCTCTGTGCCCCTCCTTTGCTCGTGCTCGTTCTCTCTCTCAAAAATAAACAAACATAAAATAAAATAAAATTTTAAAAAGATGAGGAAAATAAGCCTTAAGTTTGTTGACCTGCAAAGGCCAAAAGCCAAGACACAGCTGGGACTGCAGCCCAGGCTGGCCTGAGTCTGGGCCAAGGCTCTGCACCACTGTACTCCTGGGTCCCTCTGGTGCCGGGCCTCTGCATGCTCACCTCCCAACCTGGCAAATCCCTCTTCCTCCTTCAACAACTCACAAGTCACCTTCTCTGAGAGGCCTACCCTGATAACCTCAAATGAAAAAGAACATCTCACTCTTCTGAATGTCTAGTGTTCTCTGTCTCCTCGTGATACTTACAACCATCTCCTGGTGGAATCACGTACACTGTTCCTTTGCTTGCGTAGTATCCATCAGGGATATGCCTCAGGGACCCATCCCATCCTCCACTCCCCAGCCCTTTATCAAACAAGTAGATAAAGTTTGGTGTTTGTGGCTGGATGCCTGAGGGTCTTTCAAATCTTGCCAGGGCTCTAGCACTGGAGTGGGATGCAACCGTGAGGGCTGTTTCTGAGCAAAAGGCTCAAGGAGAGCCAAGAAAATGAAGCAGAATAAGAGACAGTCTTAATGACAGAGCCAGATGCACACTAACCTGCTTTAAGCTGGCTTTTCATCAACTGTGTCTGAGTCCCCTCCCCACAGTCAAAGAGCCAGCACTCGCCCTCGCAACGAAGGACCAGAGCGGAGGCACCCCGGGTTGGGGATGGGTATGCTGCACCCGTACCCAGAAATGTCACATCCATAGACATCTTCCACCCTGCAACGAAAAGATTACCCAGGGGTTATTACACATCACTGCTCAATTTCACCAAAAACAGGTTATTGTGAGATTTACTATTAATTTATCTTTTCATTATTCAGAAGAGACTGGGTTTTTATTCTCTAATGGTTTTCCATAGAAATCCCAAGTAAGATTTGAATAACTCTTAGTGAGTTAAAACCACAAGTGGCCAAACTTTGGATGACTGTTCTCACACACAAAGACAAACAAGTCAGAAAACTGCCAAATCCAGTCAATTAAAAACTATAGTTGAATTCCAACTGTATAATGTTCTGGAAAAGGTAAAGCTATGAAGACAGTAAAAGACCAGTAGTTGAGAGGGGTTTGGGGGGAAGGAGGGAAGAATGAATAGGTAGGACACAGGGGGAAATGGGTATTTTCATATGTTACTACTGGTTGGGATGTAAACTGCTTTTATGTTTGGGAGTGTAATCTGGCAATATACATTACCAATAAGAATGATGCTATTAACAATACACTGTAACCCAGCAACCCCATTTTTGGGAATCTACTCTACAGAAATAAAGGACCTATGTACAATGTTTCTGGTGGTACTTTTAAGGTGGCTAAAATTTGGACACAGTCTGAATATATTTCAACAGGGCAATGACTGAATACTTTATTGTACATTCCTACCATGCACTATTTATTCTGGAGTTAAGTCAGCTCTGTAACTCTTGTCCTGGAGGGATGGCAATGAGAAAAGTTATAGATGGCTACGGCATGATCTCATTTTTACCACAATGCCCCAAACCTCTGCATTTATAGGAGAGAGAAAGTCTATGTGGAAGGATACACAGAATATTGTTAATATTGGTTCTCTCAGGGGTGATTAAAATGGTGATGGTGGGGAATGCTCATTAAGTTTCCTTTTAAGTCTTTGATTGGTTTTCACTGCACTGAGCAGCAACTGATGTCCTTATTTTCAATGTATATTTCCTTTAATATTGATGATTATAAAGAGATGTGTCACAAGGCCAAACATACTTTTCTACCTACACATCACCTAATATTCCTTTCCATTTGGGGAGAGTCAGCCCTCCGACCTCACCCCACACACACACCTCTCCCACACACACACCTCACCCACACAGATACTACATCTCTCCAATCCACACACAGGCTTTAGGTTAAGCTACTGTCCTTCTCATGTGTTACTCCACACTTCCACTTCTAAGATCAAGCATTTTTCTGATAACTAGGTAATTTGCAGAGGTTTTCCTGTTGGATTGCAGTTTGCAGCAGAAGTGGGACTAACACAATGTAGAAAGTTAAACATTTTAAAACCTAATAAATGCAGAAGGAATACTAAAATATAATCACTCTGCAATCCCTAACAAATAATGAATCTAGGCCAGTGGTACAGAACTCTAGAGCATATCAGAATCACCCGGAGAGCTTTCAAGGCATATCAATAATTGGGTTCCATCCCAGAACAATTAAAAAGGAAATTCTGCAAGTGAGACATGTGTTTTAGTATTTAAAAAAAAAAAAAAAAAAAAAAAAAACTTCCCCTGTGATTCTAATGTGCAGTCAGGTTTGAGAATCACTTAGTGAAAGGGTAATGGAGAACTATAATGAATGGATCAGGCTGACCTGAATTCACTAGCCAATTAGTCAAACTTAAAAAATTTTTTTTTATTTTGAAAAATTTTAAACACATACAAAAGTAGAGAATTAGTATAATGCGTTACCATATAACCATCAGCAAGCTTCAACAATTATCAACTCATGGCCAATCTTGTTTGGTCTGTATCCACTACCCATTATCCAAGAATATTTGATAAGTATTTATCCAAGAATACTTGATTACGTGGTAGTGGGTACTCCCATCAGGGAGCACATGCTGTCTGGCTGTCTCTCTCTTTCTGAGGTTAACGGCCACTAATCATTGCCAGGATTCATTATTTCATTAGAGGTTGCCAAGAGGTGATATTTTCTCATTCCTTCTTAAGTTATTATTTGGCATTCTTCCATAAATCTCTGGTCAATTATTTAGATACCCTGCGGTGCGATTTGTACAGAAAAGGTCCAGACCAATCCTAACACCACAAAGAGAAACAAGACCTTATGTAACTCCTGGTGTGCTGCAATATGACATACACAATAACACTGCAAGGTTTTCTTGCCAAAAAGTAGGACCTGAATCTGAAAAAGACTGTAATCTCAATACCAGTTTATTAAAAGACACCACAGGGATGGAAGAAGCAGAATCCAGGAGGTAGGAAACTTTACAAATGAATAGGTTGCTTCAACAAGTGAAATACAGGGGGCGGAAATAGAGAGAGATGGCATAGGAGAGTAAATGAAATGTAAGAGATGTCAACCAAATGTCATATATGTAGCTTGTTTGGATCTGGATTTGGACAAACGGAAAGAGAATTGGGAGAAAAAAGAGACAACTGGGGAAATGTAAACGCTGACTGGATAGATGGTAACATGAAATGCTTATTAAATTGACAAAGGAATTGTGTTTTATAAACATAAAACAAATATTCCATAGATAAAATGGTACGTTCAGATTTGCTTACAAATTATCCAGTGGGGTGAGGGTAAGAGATGAGAGTTGGGAATTCAGTACAGTATCTCATTTTAATGTTTGTAAGTTTCCACAATAAAAAGTTTAAAAGTGAGCCAAATAATCAAAACCCGCCCAGTAGATCGGGAAGTCATCAGAAATTAATTCATTTAATCAACGGTTCACGTTTGGCGGCATGCACCATTCTAGGCACCAGGAATCAAACGTGACCAGAGCAGACTTGGTCCCTGTCTTCTTGCACATAAAACGAGCCACTTGCTTTCTCATGGCCGTGATCCACTTTGGACCAAGCGCACATTCCGGTCGAGAGCACAGCACACGACCGCAGTACTGTCACCTGACTCCCCGGGCCTGTGGTTCTCGTCCTGGCAGGGTATCACAACCACCTGGTGATTCCGGGGACTCAGCGTTGGGAAGGCTTCCCAAATGACTCTAAAGGCTGCCGGGTTGAGAACCAGTTTCCATACAGGCAGCGCCAACCCTGCAATCACCCTGTGGTGCAGGCAGGGCGCATACTGCCTTCCTCCATTTTACAGATGAAAGAACCGTGGCCCGGAGACAAACAGAGGCCAGCGCCGAGTCGGGGCCAGAGGCCGGGTCTCCGACCACGAGCGAGCCCAAGCTCTCCCTCGAGCCAACGTCAATTTCCCAAAGGAGGGGCGGGCGGGGGCAGGAGCGCGGGGCGGCGGGCGCTCCAGCCCTGGGGCAGGGGATGGAAGGGAGACAAGCGCGTCTTCGCTGCCCGGCGCTCCCCGGGCCTGGGTCCTCCATTCCGGCCCGGCCCGCGAGTCCGGAGGACGCGCGCCCGCCCGCGCGGCTCGGCCCACGAGGCGGACGCGGGGCAGACGGCGGCGCAGACCCTGGCCCGCCCCTCTCCGGCGCGCCCGGTCCCACTCACCCACTACCCGAGGCCCGCGGCGGGAGCCGAGGGAGGCGCAGGCCCGCGGCTAAGGCCCAGCCGTCCACCGGGCGGCGCCGGCGCGGGCGGAAGTGCGCCGCGGGCTGTGGCCGCGTGTGGCCGCTCTAGGACGCGCCGGAGGTCCGCGCTCGGTGATGCTGGGCCCGGCCTGGCCCGGCCGCGTGGGTGGGCTCCGCACCGGTTGCAGGCGTTCTCTGGGTCCCCAGTGGGTCCCCGTCTGCCCTCGTTCGTCCGCACGATTCTCTGGGTGAGGTGGTAGCCGTCACCTGTGAGGACCAGAGCGCCCGAAGGGGAAACGTGTAATGTTTTCCAGCGGGATCCCAGATGAGTGTTGTCCCTAATGCTCTGTTGCTGCGTATGTTTGTGTGATTTCTAGTCTGGCGCTGGGATAAATCTTTCCTTTAATCACGAAGTCTAAACGTTTAAGCCTGCGGTGCAACGTGCCTTTGAATCAGAGTTCATAGCGGCATTACTATAGTTCCTGAATTTCCGTTCTCTTCCACTTTATTTAGGGACACACAGGGTATCTGCTTTCACACAAGCATTGCAGGTGTGTTTTCTTTGCGTACAGCATAGCCTGCTGGACACGAGAGTGAAAAGCCCACGCCTGCTCTGTGCAGAAACTGCACGTGGTGATTACAAGGGCAAAAAGCTCGGTTTAAATTCCAACTTAGAGGGGCGCCTGGGTGGCTTAGTCCGTTAAGCTTCTGACTTTCGCTTAGGTTATGATCTCGCGGTTCGTGGGTTCGAGCCCCGCGTCGGGCTCTGTGCTCTGTTTCAGTCTGTGACTCCCTCTCTCTCTGACCCTCCCCTGCTCACGCTGTCTCTCTCTCTCTCTCTCTCCTAGAAATAAATAAAACATTTAAAAAATAATAATAAATTCCAACTTAGAAAAAAAAAGGCATCTTCAGCTCTTAGGCAGTGCCAAATGGCAATGAGTTTTGCTCAACATACCTGAGATGGTCAAAGTATCCAGCAGCTTCATAACAGGAAGAGAAGTGCTGTCCTGTGGGGGTTTTGAAACTACCAGGAGAGAGGACTCAAGAACGTTTTCGCCCCATCCCGACTGTTTTGCCCAATAGACCACTACATAATTTACTTTTTGGCTTCTTTTCAAAGCCTTTATTCAAGTATCCGTTGAGTTCCAGTTTTGTGGATAGTATTATTTTTGATGCTGAAATCATTTTTTGAGTATGTCATCATCGCTGGCTTGAGGAGCATACACCGAGGTTGGAAGAATATGTATTAGTTGGGAAGCCACCAACTCACAATATGAGGGAACAAAGGAGCAGACAAAATGAGTGATAAAAATTTAAAAAAGAGACATGACTAGATGTGCAGTTAGTTAAGAAAAGGAAGGGCTTGGGCTGGGTCCAGTAGCATGGTGGAGACTTGGATTGGTGGTGTGGAAATGGGAAAAATAAGTTGGTTCTGGTCATGCGGGGTGTGACTTAGCAAAGTATTGAACACCAGAACTTGAATTCTATTTATCCTGACACTTGCTTAGCTCAGAAAGGCTCAGGAAGACACACATCATTCTACAGGTAGGCCTTGGTCACAACTCAGCTAGGGATTAACTCACAACAGTGCCCTCTATGGACTCACCTGCTCCAGAACTTTCTGCCTATCCATCAAGGCTCCCTACAACTCATCTTCCTAAGGGTTATTATATCTTTAGAGAATCATGGATAGAACTTTTTGTTTATTTTTAAAACAGTCCATTATGGGAAATTTTAAACATATATAAAAGTTGAGAAAATGTCTAGCGAACCTTAATGAATAATGATCACTTAACATCGATAGTAACATCTGGTCCATCTTGTTTCACCTACAACCAATCCCTCCCCCTTCAAAAGCAACAAAAACCTGGATTATTTTCAAGCAAATTCCAGACACAATATTATTTTATCCACAAATACTCCTATAAGCATTTAAGTATCCTTTTGGTAAGGGGGCACCTAGGTGGCTCAGTCAGTTGAGTACCTGACTCAGTTTCTGTTCAAGTCATGATCTCACCATTTGATGAGTTTGAGCCCTGCATCAGGTTCTATGCTGACAGCATGGAGCCTGCTTGGGATTCTCTCTCTCCTTCTCTCTCTGCCCCTCCCCTGTTCACTCTGTCTCTGTCTCTCTCAAAAATAAGTAAATAAAAAGAAAAAAATTCTTTTTTTGGTAAAGTCTCGTCACTACATAATGATGGTGGGCAGTTGAGTATATAAATATAAAAGGTAAGTTTTTTAAAAATATGACCATTATATTATCATGAGACAATAATTCCTTAATATCAAATATCCATTCATTAAATTTTCCTAGTCATCTCATAACTTTTTGAGGCTCCTTTGTTCAAGTCAGAAAATAAAAACATACAATAAAAGCATTAAAAATCTCTTAATGTTATTGTCTCATCTGAAAAAGTTAACAATCCTTAATCTAATTGGTTAAAATACCCAATTTCTTATTAATATCATCTAATAACTGTTCAGTGTTCAATTTTCCCTAATTATTCCCAAAGAGTCATATGTAGTTGGTTTGTTTGAACGAGGATTCAAAAAATCTTTATGCTGCATTTGGTATGAGTTTCTTTTTTTTTTTTTTTTTTAACCAGAAAGAGGATTTTTATTTATTTATTTTTTTTTTACAAATAGTTTATTGATTTGGTATGAGTTTCTAACGTTTCTGTTAAACTTGAACGGTTTCTTTTCCCTCTCCTTTTTTCTTGCCATTTATTTGTGGAAGAAATTGGGTCACTTGTACTCTAGAGTTTCCCCGATTCTGGACTTGGCTGATTATGTCTCCATGTACCATGTTTCTCTCTCCCTTGCCTTTCCTATCACCTGGGAGTTAGATCTACAGGCTTGTTCTAAGCCTTTTAGTGGACAGAGCTAATAAATATAATTTTTAAAGTAAAATAAATCACGAGTTCATACTGATTGTTTCAATTCAGATATAAGATTACAGAGTTTTGACTGAATTTGTTTAGTTTTATACTAATGTCACTTAAATAAAAAAATCTTGTTTCTTTGGCTCTTGATATCAGTTAGGTCATAATTTCACAGTCATGAGACCCAGCCCTGCTGGGGCTCAGAGCTGGATGTTGAGCCTGCTTAAGATTCTCTCTCTTCCTCTACCTTACTCCAACTTGCATGAGCTCTCTCTCTCTCTCTCTCTTACAAAAAAGAAAAGAAAAGAAAAATCTTGGTTTCTAATGACATTAACATAATTTGATTTAGCTCCCGGGAAGTAACTTTAGCAAACCACTGTATCCATCACACTACGCATATACAACCAAAAACCTATTTTTAGGTTACTTAAGAATTATATTTTTCAGGACCCCTGGGTGGCTCACTTTGTTAAGTGTCCGACCTTGGCTCAGGTCATGATCTCATAGTTTGTGAGTTCAAGCCCCCCGTTGGGCTCTATGCTGACAGATTGGAGCCTGGAACCTGCGTCAGATTCTGTGTTTGCCTCTCTCTCTGTTCCTCCCTCACTCACACTCTGTCCCTCTCTCTCTCAAAAATAAACATTTTAAAAAAAAGAAAAGTTTTTCCATGTTGTTATGTCACCAACCTCATACACAGTTAGGTTTTTTAATTTATTTTCCATTTTTAGGTACTGCTTTTTTTTTTTTTAATGCTTTATTTATTTCTGAGAGAGAGAGAGAGAGCGTGAGAGTCAGAGAGAGAGGGAGACACAATCCGAAACAGACCCCAGTCTCTGAGCTGGCCGTCCGCACAGAGCCTGACTGGGGCTCGAACCCACCAACTGTGAGATCATGACCTGAGCCGAAGTCGGACGCCCAACTGACTGAGCCACCCAGGCACCCTTAGGTACTGCTTTTAAAATTTGTTTTAAATTATGTAAATTACATACGTGGGTTCCAAAGTCAAAATCATATTCAGAGAAATATTCCTTTCTCCCATAGGTGACACTTTACTTAAAAAAATTTTTTTAAATGCTTATTCATTTTTGAGAGAGAGAGCGTGCAGAGAGAGAGACAGACACACAGGATCCAAAGCAGGCTCCAGGCTCTGAGCTATCAGCACAAAACCCAATGTGGGACTAGAGTCTTAAGCAGACTCTATGTCCAGTGCAGAGCCCAATGCAGGGACTCCGTCCCACAGCCCTGGGATGACCTGAGCTGAAATCAAGCGTCAGATATTCAACCAACTGAGCCACCCAGGTGCCCTGGTGACACTTTATTAAAATTAGTTTTAGAGGAACTTCCAGTATGACAGCATGAGGTGCTCTGTGGGCCCATTCCCCAGAAAAACTGGTTAAAATGATTTTTAAAAAATCACTTAAAGTCTCTGGAAATGGTCCTAAGGACATTCAGCAAATTAAGAAACATTTATTCAAAAACTCTACCAAAATTCAGCAGAAACAGTGAGAGTTTATAGTATTTGAACTGAGACCTGCTTCTCCCTTTCCTCTCCCAAAGCAGTGGGAACTATAAAGAAACTGAGGGGGCGCCTGGGTGGCTTAGGCAGTTAAACATCTGACTTTCGCTTAGGTCATGATCTCGCGGTTTGTGGGTTCGAGCCCTGCGTCGGGCTCTGTGCTGACTGCCAGCTCAGAGCCTAGAGCCTATTTCAGAGTCTGTGATTCCCTCTCTCTCTGACCCTCCCCTGCTCACGCTGCCTCTCTCTCTCCTAGAAATAAATAAAAATATTAAAAAAAAAAAAAAAAGAAACTGAGAACTATGACCTGTATAATAGGAAAAAGTAGGCAACAGAAACTGCCTGTGGGAGTGACCCAGGTGTTATATTTATCAGACAAAGCTCTCCAAGTAGCCATTATAAATATGTTTAAAGAACTAAAAATATCATGATTAAAGAAGCAAAGGAGGTGCCTGGATGGCTCAGTCAATTAAGCATCTGACTTCAGCTCCGGTCATGATCTCACGGTTAATGGGTTTGAGCCCCACGTCAGGGACTGTGCTGACAGCTCAGAGCCTGGAGCCTGTTTCAGATTCTGTGTCACTTCTCTCTGCCCCTCCCCTGCTCACATTCTATCTGTCTGTCTCTCTCTCAAAAATAAACATTTAATTTTTTTTAAAA